AGTCTTGGTTAAAAGGAAAAACCAACAAATTGTTGGAGTATAGCAGTAAATTCCCAGGCCGTACTCATAAAAGTAGGCAGAAATCAATCTATACACATAGTATTCCCCAAATCCCTCCACCCCTCAGAAAAAAGAAGCAAAGGAATGGACAAAGTGAGAGAGATATATATATAGAGATCAAACCACTGAGAAGCATAAAAAGCATCTGGAATTAGATAATAAGGATATTTCCTTGTACAATAGGAATGATAAAGCCATCAAGCTGCCACCACAGCAATAGTTTCGTAAAGCAAAATAAGCTTTTATTTGAATTAAAGGAAAATTTCCTACTCAAACACAAGGAACATCTAACCTTACACTCAATAAGTTCCTCCAAAAGATTTCTGTTAAAAACAAATTGAGGGTCAGCCTGAAACACAGAAAGGAAATTTATTCAAACATGCAGCAAGAAAAAGACAACAGCAGTAGATGGGAAAGATAACAATTAATGTGAGATATCCCCATATATGATTTGGCAATCTACCTGCTTCCACATTGGTTTACACATCCAACCTTCTGCTAATTTATATCTTCTCTGGCAGCTGTTACACAACAAAATGCACCTCATGAATATAGAATTAACTATAGTAAGATGGAACTGAATCTGAATTTGACAACAGAAAAGCCCAAGTGGAAGAGGCTAAGTATTGATCTACTTTACAAGCTTGCAGCAAGGTAAAAGAATTACTTCAATGTTATATCTGTTTCATATGAGTAGTACAATCCCGGAGTATTTTCCACCGTTTTCAACAGAGTCATGAAGTAAGCCTCATCTCTTTTCTGCACAGAACATATTGTAATTTGTGACCAAGTTTCACACAATGATAAATTAGATCATCTTCAGTATGCCTAAGTAAAAACTCAAGCGAGTAAAACAGCTTGAACCTTACTTCTTGAGAAGTTGAGAACCTCATATCTGTATTGCAAGCCAGGAATTTCATAGAAACTACCCGGAAAATAGGGAAACCTAGAAAAAACCCAACTTCTTTTCTCGATGTTATTATGAGTAAATATGTTCCTGTACCAAACAAGAAAACTTCTATATAAACCTTATATGATAATAAAATAAAGAATTTAGATAGATAGATATATAGATAGATAGATAGATAAATCAAAAATCATATTATATTCAGCTAATTACCATTTTAGTCTACAACTTGGGGAATCGTTTCAAATCACTTACAAATCTTTTTAAATTATAATTCAGTACCAAAATCATATTATATTTAGATAATTACCATTTTAGTCTACAACTTGGGGAATCGTTACAAATCACTTAAAAATCCTTTTACATTATAATTCAGTACCAAAATTAACACATCCTTAACAAGGGCAAAAGTCTAGTCCTTTTTGGTCATAAATGGGTCATAGAAAATGCCAAAACAATAACAAATTTGAACATTGTCTAATCGTTTGAGAGCCTGGTTATAACACCAAAAGAAGAAAAATGAGTTTTTTGACAGAAACTATGGTAGAAATAAAATGAATGAGCCCTATAACATTATGCATGATAGATAGGTAAAGTTAGTTAATCTTGCCATACTACCATCACTCCTGATTCTGTCTCAAAATTTAATGGATGAGATCCAAGTAATAAGCCAAGAGAAGAAAAAAAGACCTCAAGCTCACTGTAGAATGCTTGTGTGAATAGTGTAATGAATACCTGTAAGCAATCTGATTGTTCCACCCACCCCAAAGATAGTAGAGACTCTGGATGGACTCCCGGAACATGTAGTATCTGTAAGAATTAACATGAAGATGAGGATCATACTTTAAAATAGAAACTTCTAAAAGTTAGTCAATTCCTCCATTTTGACTTGAATTGTTATAACCAATTCAAGAAAATATATTTCTTTTTACTTTTTATGAATTGCGTAAATCTTATAACATAACATATAATTACCGGAAAAAAAAATAATTACCATAATAGAAGGTAAGATGGTACTGAACTTTACTATCAGCAATTAAAATTTGCTTTAACTAGAATCTTTTTTTTTTTAGTTCACAGGACGCCTAGTAGGTTAGTGCATTACCAAAAAACAAAACCCTTTTCCTTTATAGAACTGTCAAACTGCTGATTACCTGGAGTCACAGGTTAGAACCAGGTGGCGGAGCCCCATAGTCAGTATGCATGTGAAGCATGTGTAAACATTTATGTATATATATATATTAGGCTTAAAAGGGAAATGACAATGAAAAAAAGGTGTACAATTGCCTTATTTTTTCGGAGGTATAAAACCTTCCCTTTCATTTGTAAGAAGCATTCAAAATATAAAAAAGTAGAAACCCTATTAGGGTTGTCTCTCCAAAAAGTTGATCGCTCATTCTCTCTGTGTGTTTGCTACTTGATCCTTCTTCATTAATCTTCAAATATCAGTTTCCTCAACCATTATACAGTATATTATTGCATGGTATCAGACTGTAACGGAGAGCGAGAACTCAAATGAAATGAAAAACTTGGCTTCTCACCAAGATCCGTCCTTGTCGAGAGGAATCACCCTAGATCCTTCTAATCCGAGCAGCCCGTACTATATTAGTGCCAATGAAAGCTCGGGTGTGTTACTTGTTACCTAATTGTTAGATGCAAACAATTACCACAGCTGGGCAAGGTCGATCAAACGAGCACTGCGGATCAAAAACAAGCTAAGGTCTGCGGATGGCAGCTCAAAAGAACCAACAGATCTAGCAGATCTACTCATGGAACATTGGTTACGATGCAGTGACATAGTCATCATATGGATAAAGAACGTGACTGTCTGTTGATATTAAGTGCAACACGTTCTATGCAGACACGGCATATCAAATGTGAATCGAGTTGGAACTAAGACATGCATCGCAAAATGCACCAAGAATCTACAAGGCGAAGCAAGTCATAGCAAACCTCATGTAAAACCAAGACACTGTAAGTGTTTATTCTTCAAAACTAAACTTTACTCAATGAGTTAATGAACTATGAATGAGTTCCAAATTGTACTTGTGGAGGGTTGAAAACAATAGTCCAATATCAACATACGAACTGGATAATGAAGTTCCTCATGGGTTTGAATGAGTTATATAAAGCAATTAAAGCACATATAATATTGATAAAATATTTTCCTAGTTTGAATGAAGGGTATTTAATTATAGACCAAGAAGAAAAACGTACAAAGATTTCATTGCATACTTCAGTCAATAGAGCCCTGACTTTTAGCATTAAGGAAACAAACTGTTGATTTTAGGGAAAAAATAATAATTTTATTTTTCACCCTTTAAGTTATTATATTTAGGGTATTTATAAAATTTTTAACCTATTAATTAGAAAATAACTATTCTACTAAAATGCTAATTACATGAGATTTCCATTCTAATAGAATTCTAATTACATAATATCAACTAATTAAATAATAAACTAAAATAATAAATATATTCAACATCCCCCCTCAAGTTGGTACATGAATATCTCACATACCCAATCTGCAACCTGAGTTGCAAACCCGAGGCGTACGTGCTTAGAAGAGCTGAAAACGGAATAGAAAAAGTTGGTCAGAAAGGCTCGCACACAAAAGAAGCGGATCTGCGTTGGATCACAAAACTAGAGGCAGACACTCGCAAAAGAGCCAAAAAATAGAGCCAAAAAATAAGGCCAGAAAAGGCTGGTCAAAAGGGCTTGTGTGTGAAGAAGGCCTAGCCGCAAAATCAGAGGCGGTCGCACGTAGAGAAGCCAGAAAAAAGACCAGAAAAGTCTAGTTAAAGCAGCTCACGCACGGAGAAAGAAGTAGATTTGTCTAACAACACAGCGACTTGGTTCAAACTGCTCGGACTCACTTGGCTCAGGCAGCAGCTCAACTCAGGCTCGTCTTCTCCGGACATATCTCTAAATGTGCACAGAAAAATGGAATGACGCGGTCTTTTTTGTCGACACATGTGGATATGCAAGTGTAACTTTTTATCAGCACTTGCGGATGTGCGGCTGCATCTTTTACTGGCGACAGGGATGTGCATCTGTATCTTTTTATTAGTGCTTGCAGATGTGCGGCTGCACTTTTCCCGACACTTGCGGATATGCAGCTGCACCTTTTCACCGTCGCCTATAGATGTGCGGCTGGACTTTTTTACTGGCGCCTCAAGAATGCAGCTGCTTGTTTTTACCAGAGTTTGTAGATGTGCGGCTGCACTATTTAACAGCGCCTAGAGAGTACAGCTGCACTTTTTACTGGCGCCTCCAGAGCGTGGTTGCACCTTTCTATTGGCACCTCAACTGTCGCTGAAAATTACTGTAAACACCACAAAACACATCGGCAGGTTCAAATCCGTTTTGGATGGTAATGAGAGTAGATCTGGATAAAAGGATACCAATCCAGCATATTGTACTATTTTAGGGTTGGAAAGAACCTTAAAATTGATCCTTAAAATAATTTTATTTAGCTTTGATATCATGTTGATTTCGAAGAAAAAATAATAATTTTATTTCTCACCCTATATGAAATTACACCTAAAATATTTATAAAATTCTTAATCTACTAATTAGAAAATAACATTCTACTAAAATATTAATTTAATGAGATTTCTATTTTAATAGAATTCTAATTATATAATATCAACTAATTAGATAATAAATTAAAATAATAAAATATTATATTCAACACAACCAAGACAAGTAAACAACCTACCTCAAATCGTGAAAGATATTACCGCTTTTATATTCAACACAACCAAGACAAGCAAACAACCTACCTCAAATCGTGAAAGATATTACCGCTTTTAGTGCAAAATTGCAGGTCACTCTATAGACCGATGCTTCAAAGCCAATCCGAACAAGCATTCATGCTCCAACTGCAACATACTCAGGCATATTATAGAAACTTGTTTCAAACTCAATGTATATACAAAGAGACACAAGGTTCATGAAAAAAAACAAGTATTCAAGTGCCAACCAAGTCTTTTCCCTCCCAAAACAAGAACAAACTGGTACAAAAAAACAACCGATCATCACACAAGAGTAGTATGCACAACTCATGGCATTGCTCGAGCAAAATCACCCCTCAATGCATACGATACAATCATCTACTATTTCTTTTCAGAAACCCACTTTAACTGGATTCTCTAATATGTCTCTTTGTCTCAACGGCTCATTCCATAGATTAGATAGACGTTTACTATTCCTTGGATCATTGATATTGGTGCCTCGGATCACATCATATTAACACCAATTTTGTACAAGCATTTCGGTAGACACTTCCTTTGAAGTTGTTTTATCAAATGATGATAAAATGAATGTCCTCACGTTGGAATGGTCGAAATAACTAATAAACTGATTCTTCATAATGTTTTATGTGTCTCATCTTTCAATTTTAATTTGAAATCTGCTAGAAGATTAGTTGAGGACACTAAGTGTTGCCTCATCTTCTCACCACAGTTTTTTGTAATACAAGACCTTATGACTTAGAAGCAGCAATTAGGGTGGATGAAGTGAAGGATGGATTGTATCAGCTGGAACAACATAGAAGCTCTTTGACAGAGTCCCAATAAGAATTCTCTGGCACAATAGTCTCGGTTCCCGAACAAGGTGAAACATTTGATCTTTAGCATTATTGTCTTGCGCATCCTTCACAATTCAAGTCAGATTTTCTCTCACGTGTCTTGAAGAGTAAAGAATGCAATCCTTGCCACATTTTTCAATTAGCTAAACTTCATACACTTCCATTTTCTGTTAGTGAACATAAATCGAAACAGCATTTTGATTTAATATATTATGATATTTGTGGACCTTGTAAAGAAACTTCTTATGATGGATATCAATATTTTCTTTCATTTGTGGATGATTTTAATAAATATACACAAGTTTACTTGTTGAAATCAAAGGCTGAGACTAGCCTTACTCTGTCAAGCTTCTACACCCCTATTGAGACATAATTTACCAAACGGATCAGGGTCATTCACAGTGATAATTGGAGAGAGTTAGAGATGAGAAATTTCTACCTGGAGAAGGGAATCATCCATAAGAAAAGTTGTGTTTAGATGCCTAAGTAGAATGGAATGGTAGAAAGGAAGCATCAATAGATACTCAATATTGCTAGAGCTCTAAAATTCTAAAGTGGAATTGAACTGAAGTACTAGAGTAATTTTATTTTAATAGCAGTAAATCTGATGAACAGTACACTGTTATCTACCATTAATTACAGAATCCTTTTTGAATTGTTTGTTCCAGACCAAGCCAAAGTCACACATCTAGGAGCTTTTAGGTGCTTGGCATTTGCATCCACCTTAATAAATAACAAGCACAAATTTGATCCTACAGCAAAAAAATGCATTTTCCTAGGGTATCTCTTTGGTGTCAAGGATAAAAGCTGTTTGACATGGAAACAAACAGAATCTCTATCTCGAGGAATGTAATATTCTATAAGAACATATTTCCTTGTAGAATGTAGAACAACAACTCTGAAAGTTACAGTGTTCCAGGTCCAGCCAACATTCAACTAGAGAGCATGCAGATTGTTTGTCCCATGGAAGAAGTGAGCAAAGAATCTATAGTTGAGAAAACAGATATAGATGCACAGAATGACCAGACGTATGAAGAAGACAAACTTCCATCTTCCTGATACAAGGACCTGATGAAGAAGACACTGTTGAGGTTTTTGTGGAGGATGACTCCAACACCAATGATTGTCGCCCAACAAGAAGACCAACCACAGTCAGAAAGGCACCCTCCTATTTAAGGGATTTTGTTTGTGAGCGTATCAATACTTCCATTCCCCACTCGCAATAGCTTAATGAAAAGGATCCACCAATAGGTAAGGCAATTCTCATATCCTCTACTGCCTCATATACTGGAATTGTTGATAAATATAAAAAATATTTGTCGGTTGTGAGTTCATAAAATGGGTTCTGCTCATATGATGAAGCTTGTAAAGAATCTGACTGGGTAAAGGCAATGAGAAATGAGGCTAATGCATTGGAAGAGAAGAAGACATGGAGAATTATGGATCCACCACCTAGGAAGAAGCCTATTAAATGCAAATTGGCATATAAAGTTAAATTCAACGTAGATGTCACAATTGGAAGATGCAAAGTTAGGCTTGTTGGCAAAGGGTTTATTCAAAGGGAAGGTTTGAACTATCATGGAACCTTCTCACCAATGGCAAAAGTTGTATCAGTTAAGTTACTTCTCTCCTTAACGGCTATTAAAGATTGACATCTACATCAATTTGATGTCAACAATGTCTTTCCTATATAAATATTTGAATGAGTAAGTTTTTATGGAGTTGTCACCCGGATATCCAAATGAGGGAGGCCAAAAGTGTGCAAACTACTTAAAAGTATATATCGACTCAAACAAGCATCATTACAGTGGTATTTAAAGATCTTTCAGATTTCATTGTTAAGCAAGGCTTTATACAACAAAAGGACAACTACAGCCTGTTTGTGCGAAGGAAGTTACTGCACTAGTAGTATATGTTGATGATATAATTATTTCCAAAAATAATATCAAACTAATTGATGACTTAAAAGGCAGTAATGAACAGCAAGTTCAAGCTAAAGGATCTAAGGGACTTGAAATATTTTCTTGGCAACTAAGTTCCCTTATCGAAAAGAGGGATTCACATTTTCCTATGCAAATATGCTTTGGATCTGTTAATGGACACGGTGACCTTGGGTGTCTGAACTTCAAGATTGCCATTAGACCAACACCTCAAGTTATCAAAGGGCAAAAGTGAGCTCATTCCTAATTCGACCACATATAAGAGACTCATTGTTAGGCTTATGTATTTAACTCTCACAATGCCAGGCCTAGCCTTCTCGGAGCAACTTTTGAGCCAATTTATGGAGAATCATAGAGATCGACATCTCAATGCAGCTTACAAGGTCTTAAGATATATCAAACGTGCTCTTGAGTAATTTGTTTTATCCACACTCATCTAAATTGAAACTCAATGCTTACAGTGACAGTAATTGGGGAGGTTTGAAGATACCAGAAGGTCGATTATAGGATACTGCATTTTTCTGGACTCTTCTTGATCTTCTGGAAATCTAACAAGCAGCACACCATCTCTCGATCATTTGCAAAGGCCGAGTACAGAACTACAGCCAGTATTTGTTGTGAACTAGGATAAAATATCTATTATATGATTTGGGAGTCTACGTTGCATTATGACAATAAGGCTACAATGGACATAGCTGTCAACCAGTGTTTCATGAATGAAAAATGCATATACAACTGGATTGCATTTGGTCCGTGAAAAGTTCAGAATAGGAGTGTTGCAACTAAGCAAGTAAAGCAGACAACAGATAGTGTACATTTTCACCAAACACTCTCAAACATTCTTCTCAATCATCATGTACCTAAGATGAAAACAAAGAATATCTATTCTCCATCTTGAGGGAAAATGTCAAAGTGCTGATTACCAGGCCCCCGGGTTAAAAGTGGATAGTGGAGCCCTGTAGTGAATACGCAAGTGAAGCATGTGTACATGTATGTACATATATATTAGGGTTAAAAGGAAAATGATACAATGCTTAAAAAGTGTACAACTGCCTTATTCTTTTTTAAGGTATAAGCCTTCCTTTCATTTGTAAGAAGCATCCAGAATACAAAAAAGTCAAAACTTTATTAGAGTTTTCTCTCCAAAACGCCAACTCTCTCTCTCTCTCTTTCTCTCGTTCTCTCTGTGTTCTTGCTCCTCATTTCTTCTCACTGATCTTCAGAGATCAGTTTCCTCAACCAATATAGAGTATCTTTCTTGCAAAAACTGCCCCATATGTGTGTTTCGATGTGAGCAGGATTTCCAATATCCTTTTTTCACTAGCTTTAACAACTAGAATAGCTGGCACCTACTAATTGTTAAGAACTGCTAATTCTAAAGCTTTACCAAAAGATAAAGGTAATAGCACAGTTATGCTTATGATCATTTCGCACTGTCCAATAATGATAAAGACTGTGTATAATATGATTATTTCGCACTTAACAGAGCAAATAGCACAGAACATGATATATCAAAAATATTCTATCGATCTGATGCTATATGGTGTAAAATTTTTCACGACGCAAGATCGACGACTACCTAAACAGTTTTTTTTTTTTTTTCCTAATTAGAAAAAGTAACTTTTTCTATATATTTTCAGCAAACAAACGGGAGATAGAAAAAAAAAAAAGTAAATCAAAGAAACGAACCACTCAGTAGCTCAATATTGCCATCGCGACGACAAATAGAGAAACCTTGATCTGGAGATTCAACGGACTTGATGACGTACTTGTCATGGAACTCCTGCAACTCCAATTGGTCATAGAGCTTGAATCGATTAGAAATTGGCACGATTTCCATGATGAAGAATCCAATGCAGTAAATCACAGTATGAGATAATGAAAACCCTAGGAAGATGGTAGGAATGATTACGATGATTGGTTGCTTGGTTGAGGAAGAAGAAGATAGAAATAAATGTCATTAACAACTCACAGCTTTAAGAAGACACAGACGGTTATTTTATTGCGCCAGTTTTCTTTCTTTTTTTACGTAAATTAGAAAAACAAAAAATTGACTTTATCTATAAAAATATCCCCAATGTTTTTTGATCCATAAAATTTCAATTAAATTTAATGAAATTATATTTATATATTCAAAATGTAATAATGTTTTCATATGTTATTATTTGTGTTTGTTGTAATTTGTGGGATTATGATCTATGGTGCTTTAATTATTGATGTTTTTAGCTGGCTAATGTTTTATTTAAATTATTTATATTTTTTCCTAGGTAGCTTAATTAATACATTATAAAACAAAGAAAGTAATTAGATAATAAAAAGACTATATGGACCCTACTTGGAACCTTCATGATTTACATATATATATATATATATATATAGAGAGAGAGAGAGAGAACTTGATCGGATAAATTATATATATATATATAAGGTAATCGTTTAACTATTTGTTTTTGGTAACTTACATTTAATTGATAATATCAAACAGTGCATTTTGTTTCATCGTTTATTCGAGTTTCTGATTATATTAAAAGATTTAAATTTTCATTTTTATTTATATAATATTATGATATATATCATGTTGTACTTAAAAAAATATACAAAATATTTAAATATTTATATACCTTATAAACTACATGTAATGATATATTTAATTAATTATATTATAAAATTAAATTATTAGTTATTTTAGTCTTTTAAATAGTATTAAATATTTTCTGAAAAAATGTCTGATAATTTAAATTATTTTAAAAATATTTCCTTCATTATTTATTTTGTTAAATATAAATATTAATTTTAAATTATAATTACTTATTTTGGAAATAAATATTATTTAAAGAAAGAATGGGGGGAACTTATAGAATTTCTGATCAAGTTAGAACTAAATTATTAATTAAAAAAAGTAGAGTTCATTTTTTTGGGCTTTAAATAGATATTTTGACTTAATTCAATAAATTAATTATTAACGTTAGAATTATTAAAAAATTTAAAATAAGGCATAAAAAACTATTGTAAATTATAAAATTTTAAAGAAAATTAAGAGCCAATTTAGTGAATTGAATTTATAACAATTGTTTAAGTTGTCTCTGTTAAAGTTTGGTCAAAATTTTTTTAATTTTCTTCAAAATATTATTAGATTGAGTTATGATGTTTAGTCAATGATTTTGCCGTCTTATTAAACCCAAAAACCAACATCTCTTTACGTAATAAATTGAAATTTAATAATACTAAATCAATATTATGTTTTATTATAAAATTATCATTATCATAAATTACTAAAACAAAAAATAATAAACTTATTGAAAACATTATAAACTCTAAATTATATCTCATAAACATCGAATACCCATTTATTTTGTTTTTATATAATTTAATAAGATTATTATTTATAAGTTTTAATAGGATTTACAATCTTTCTTAATTAAATTAATGGTAAAAATTTTAATAAAATTTCAAAAACCCTTCAAGAAAGAGATAAAAATTATACCACAGCAAAGAGTTAAAAAATGATGTTATAATAGATTCTATGCGAATTGAGATTAATACTTCCTAGAATTTCAATAAATATAACAAAACTCAGAATTTATTTTTTTTAAAAAAAATCATTTAAGGTTCTCTATAAACTCAAATTTTATTAATTTCTAATAGAATCTCCCATTTCCTTCTAATTACAGTAAGTGTAAATTTCTAAATGTATTTAACCAAAAAAAAAAAAAAAAGAAGCTAGATTTTTTACAACCATATCCTTATACAATAACAATCCTAAACAACACCAGTTTGGATGCTAGAATTTAATTCTTCATCAATTCAATTCAACCAAAACGCTTTGGAGCAAAAAGTCTGAGTTCAAAGTATAATCAAATCACTAGAGAAAATATGAAGGGAAACAGATCATCAAACAGTTATAAGTCGGTCCATCACATTCGTTCTGCTGCTGCTCGCTCACTCTTTCCCCCCATATGGCCAAGATCCAGAATACGAATAAAGACAGTTAATCATTACAAGATCAATTTGCCCATTCATTTTTATCTTCTCATTTTCACCTCGACGTTTCTCCATATCATAAAACAGCAACTAATGGCAAAATTAAGCAACTATTTCTTGAACAAATCTGCTAGCTCACCTTTCTCATGCATAGAAGACAAGATGTCACACCCTCCGATCAGTTCTCCATTCACAAATATTTGAGGAAACGTAGGCCAATTGCTATATCTCTTTAGAGTCTCCCTCAATCCATAATTATACTCTTCATCAAGCACGTCAACACTTTCATAATCCACCCTTTCATTCTCTAGAATGCTGATTACTCTTTGTGAGAATCCACATAATGGGGCACTTCTTGATCCCTTGATAAATGCAACCACTTTATGCTCCTTTACCAACTGATCGATAAGCTCTTCCAATGGGACTGACAGCTGGACATGACGACCACGTGTAAGTCGGAGATCAGCCGTCTTCCTTGGTGGTTGCCTGACCCAAGTGGTATTACCAGATTCATTGCCAGGCGGGACCTTTCCTGTGGCTTTTATATATTCTTCCATCCATGATTTCCAAGCTTGTCTTAGAGCTGTTCTATCAGGATCATCTACTACCCCAACCTACATACCAGTTTAATACTAAATATCGCACTTGGTGAAGAACTCTAATCGTATAATAGTACAGCTTTACATAAAAACTGAAAATTAACAAAGAATGATCTTTAGATAAATTCTTAGAAGCGGAAATAGCAAATCCAGGTTTGCGATTAGCACTCTTCCTCATGAACAAACAAATTAGTAGGCTCAGGTGTAAGTTAGTAAGGGTCAATCAGGATACATTTTAACTGATTAAATCAGGCTTCGTTGGAGCAAATGATCTTCATTTCTTTTGTAAATAAATTGAAAAAAAAAATTGTCTGTAAACAAAATTTAATGTTTGCAACAAACTGCAAAATTCCAAAAACTTGTCTGAAGTTTAATTAAATTATTAAACCTATGCCACATTAGGATCATTCTCATTCAATTCCTAATCAATTTCTTGTATATAGCCTAAGTATAATTTATTGTGTTTAAATTACAACAACCCCAGCTTGAATTCTTTAACAATGGGAATTAATTCTTAACTTTTAAGAAGGAAGTTGAATTTCAATTAAGGAATTCGAAACAGGGGTGCTGTAACTCAAACACCATAATTATGTTCTAGTGGTGCATATTACAACTAAAATTAGATCTAAAACTATGAATTGATATAAATTTGACTAAGTATTAGACCAAATGCATCATCAAAGAAACACAAATAAGAGTTAGCTTTGTTTCTTCCAAACCTTTAATTATGCTCCCAAATTTCATCAAAGTTTGTAACATTTTGAAATAAATTTCATAGTTAAGAATAATTTTAAGGCTGTGTTTGGAACAATTCCAAAATTTTTCAAATTCATCTGTAAATTCTTGACCTCAAACAAAACGTTGCATCTAACTGAAGCAATGCATTCTAAATTTCATCAATTAGAGAATTTTTGTCATCTTCTAATTTAACTAATTATATATTAGCAAATAAATTCCACAAAAATTCTGAATTTGTTTCAAAAGTAGCCTAGGCATAAAATTTTGAATTTATAAATGAATTCTACATCCTTCGTTAAATTCATTTGTTCCACATATTGTGTAAAACCTCCATTATGGCCAGACAAGACTCAAAACCAACATTGCCAGCAGTTTATTAAAGACGCTAAAAAAAATATATGCAATTATAGTTTGTTCACTGACTTCCTAATTAGAAAATACGAATGCAATGGTGAACAGTAGACTTCACCATCTCACTTTTACCCCGACCAATTGACAGAACATAAACCTAGAAGCAGATCTATGTGTCCTCCATAAATCAGGCTAATAAAACCAGTAAAGTTCTCAAGTTAGAAACTCCTAACCTATAGACTTCTCACAATCTACAAAAATTGCCTCACAAGAATGTTTACATATGGTATAAGCAAGTGGAAGATGCAATGATGCAAATAGTGAATGCCAAACTTGGTAAGAATCAAAGGAACAAGCTTGGTTTTATCAATTCGATTATAGCTGCCTGGTGCATAATTAGTTCCTCAACCTGTCTAACTACAAAATTTCTCTCGATTAACAATCTAGGACCTAACAAGTTTGCAAAATCAGTAAGTATATATCCAAGTTTCTTTTCGCATACTCCTAATTTCATTTCCAAAAATCAATTGCAAAGAGCCCTCGTTCTGTCCTATTCCCAGGCTGATAAAATAGTTCACGCAACATAGTAAACAAAAAGGAAAAAAAAATACCCTGAAACTGCCGCATAGCTCCGGCACCGACTTCATATGAGAGAAGAGGCTCGCGTATACATTCCTTGATATGCCAACAAATTGAAGCTCATCGTTCTTGTCATAAATGGCGTAGACACCGGAAGTTGAAGGGAATTTCGCTGAAAATTCATCGGCCGTTGATGGAAAGGGAATCAGCTCCGAGTCTGCGAGGTTCTTCAGAGCCGAAGCAATTGAGAGAGAGCGAGGCCTGATTGTATGGGAAGGTTTGGCGGAAATGAAGGGATAAGAGAGAGAAGGTTTAGAACGAAAGTAAGAAGAGAGGTTGGGGGAATATTGGCGAATATGTGAAGAAGAGATGCTTGGTAGGGAAGAAGATGAATGCAGCGAATAGAAGTGGATTGTCGCCATTCCAGGGATGGGTGAGTGAGAAGTGCCTCTTTGGCACGCTTCTGCTTCTTTGCTGGAAAGAAGTAGAAGTTCAGACAAATTAAGAACCATACGAGTGCTTTTGTACAGTAAAAGGTAAATAGTATTTTGAATAATTTGAGAGTTTATTAATGAATAAATTTAATATATTTCCAATAAAAATGTAATTTTAAATCTATTAATGTTTTTTTATAAATTATTCAAATAATATTTTGTTTTAAAATTAAGTTATGATAATTGAAAATTAATGATTATATTTAAAATAATTTAAACTGTTAGTATTAAAATATTTAATTAATTATGTATTTGATTAATAACAAATTACACAAATTAGGTGATTGACGACAAATTCCACAAATTAGATGATTAACAACAAATTCCACAAATTAGATAATTAACAAAAAATTTCACGAGTTAGATGATTGACAGTAAATCTTACAAATTAGGTGATTGATAGAATTAGAATATTTGGTTGACCATCTCTCATTTACATGTTTATATATCTCATCTCTATTCAATAGAAATCAAACAATTATTCTCAATTCTATATGGTATCAGAGCTACCACCTCTTGATATGTTTCTTCCATTCTCCTTTTTTCTTTCTCTCACAATTCTCCAAATTCTTTTTCAACCATAAAAGCTTCCAAAAACATTTTTGCACCTTCCATTACTCATACCACCATTCAAAATACCCAATCATCATTGGCTCAATCAATAAAATGTCCCTAGCTTCCATATAGTGCTTTTCTATGTTAACCGCATGCATATTATGCATCTCTTAAGACCATCGACAGCCCCACATGGCTACTTGATAGTGAGGTGTTGCACTATGTCATTGCCAACTTAAATAATCTTTCACTTCATATTCCTTATGCAAGGTCTGATGATGTTACGATCAAGATGGCTCGGGTCTTCATACTATCCATATCAGTTCTACCACTCTTCCTACCCCTACTCACACATTTTATTTACACAATATCCTTTGTGTGCTTAATATAAAAAAAAAATCTTATTTCTATA